TAGGTATTCCCTGCCAAAGAACTTTAGAAAAGGAACAGGCAAATAAGATATGGAAGCAACCAAAATGTCCATCAATAGATGAATAGATAAAGATGTGGTACATACACACAATGTAATATTATTCAGCCATAAAAAGAAAAGATATCCTCCCATTTTCTACTACATGGATGGATCTAGAGGGCATTATGCTCAATGACATAAGCCAGGCAGAGAAGACAAATACCAAATGATTTCACTTATTTGTGGAGTATAACAGCAAAGCAACAGAAAGAACAAAATAGCAGCAGACTCACAGACACAGAGAAGGGACTCATGGTTACCAAAGGGAAGGGGTTGGGGAAGGTTGGCAGGGAGGGAGAAGGGGATTAAAGGGCACAATAATTTGCTATCACACTATAGCTTGGTCACGGGGATGATAGTACAGCACAGAGAATACAGTTAATGACTCTATAACATCTTATACATTGATAGACAATGACCACACTGGAAGGGATGAGGACTTGATACTATGGGTGAATGTTGAACCACTATGTTGTGTATTTGAAGCATCATAATATTGTATATCAATGATATTTTAATAAATGAAGGAAAGGAAAGAAGGAAGGAAAAGAGGGAGGGAGGGACGAAGGAAGGAAAGAGAGAGAGAGGGAGGGAGAGAGAGAGAAGAAGGAAGAAAGGGAGGAAGGAAGGAAGGAAGGAAGGAAGGAAGGAAGGAAGGAAGGAAGGAAGGAAGGAAGGAAGGAAGGAAGGAAGGAAAAGACAGGCAGAATCTTTTGAAAGTTGCAAAAATGTATGTTTTGATTGCGTAGAACATGGTTTCCTGAGGAGTGGCCTTAAGCAAAATTGTGAATTCAGTGGCATTGTCCTGGGGAATGCCACTCCTCTACTTTGTGAGTTGTTCACCCCTTGACACATCCCTGCTTTGCTAGTGCCCTTGCATACCCAGTATCGTCTTGCTTCTTCCAACTGGCACTTGCTCCCAACCAAAGTGCTAAAATCAGTCACTGATACCCTAGTTTGAATGAACGTATTCCTTTATTTTGTCTAGGAGATCATTTGCAATCCTTTAATTGTGGAATGAGTGACACCAAAGGGCATGCAGCAGCAAATCGTGGTGCTCTCCTTACCTCAGCACAGCAGGATCAACCCTGCAATGGGTACACTGTCCATGCTTTTAAAAACATTTAAGAAACTTACCACCCTTTTAGAGAAGCAAGACATACATACCTATGAAGCATGTCAGCAACAATTCACATCCACTTGTGACTGTGCATAAAATACAAGTGTTTTCAGGTCAAGCTTGTAAGACTCAACATGTATACATTCCATTTTCAATCTTAGTGCTTCACTGCTACCATTTTGCGGATTAAGTAACCCAAACAAAGAAAACTAAATAACTTGCCGAGGTGATACTACTTGTTCATGGTTGAATTAGGTGGCTCTGCTGGTAAGATCATTTTTAATTTTGGTCACGGTTGGATGATAAGTAGTGTTTTTATTATAGAAAAATAGAATGCAACAAATGGCTTATGCTAATCTTCTCATAAATCATAGAATGCATTTCTATTATTATCATTCTCTCTTCTATCTATAATCTCCAGAGCTGTGTGGGCTATTATTATCAGGTTAGTTTAGCAGATATATCACTATGGAGCATGACCGAACTCATCCTGTCTCCATGCCTCTTCCACCTTGACCTTCTTCCTACACCCACTCAGCTAACTTCCCATCACTTAGTCTCTGGCATGGGTGGATTACATAAGATATCAAATTTACAAAAATGGGTTTTTCATGAAAAAGAAAAGGAAAAGAGAAATTATGAAACTTTAAGGCCTATCAGTAAGAAAATACAGTGTGTCACTTCATATTTATTTTAAGGAAAGAGCAAAGGAAATGGTTATCAGGGTCAACTCTGGCTTATCAGGGGCATATTTTTCAGAGTCCAGGGAACGAGTTAAATCCTGGATGTATACTGGTTCCATCAAAGCTTAAATGAGGGAAAATAAGCTTAATCCTCTCAAGAGTATTTTTAAGAGATTGCTAAGGCTAATATATTACTAATGGGTGGAAGCCCTGAGGTGAATGTTTTTGACAAGTGTCCTTGCTGGAGCCTTCTTTATCCCAGTTAATCTGCCTCCCAGGCACACCTGGAGACTAGGAGCTACTGTGTTACAATCCACAGAGAGAAGGGTGTGCTCTGAGTCCAAAAACCGGCAGTCTGAGACTCAGCAAATCACCTCGTTTTACATGGTTACCAAGAGGGGCCTCCGTCATCTCTGCCCATTGCTTTTTCCACTCTGTGTTCCTTTATTTGACCTTCTTCAGGAAATGGGATATTAAAATCAGAGTTTTCCCCACAGGGAGGGGACAAGAATCTCAGAATAACAGGTGGAATGGGGGCTGGTAATGAGCACTCTAAGGAATCAGATAAGAGCTGCCGGGCTTACCTGGTGTTTCTCTCTTCACCTCACAGTCCGAGGGAGCCCTTCCTCCAGTGCACTTGGGGCTCAGTTATATCCTGCACGGTCTGCAAAGACAACCTTCACGTCCCAAGCCCAGCCGTTCACTGGCATGCGTACAAGTTCACGAGCAACTCCTAGGGCACATTGCTGTGTTTGCAGGCAGACAAGCCCAGGACACACCCCCTTTAAGAAGGAAAAGAGAAATATTTTTCTGCTAACCCTCCCTCCCACTTCAAGTCAATATTAGGCTTGGTAAGAGGAAGGAACTCAGAGCTCAACACCTAACGATTCTCCCAGCAGCCACTGGCAGATTTCTGAAATCACAAAAGGGAAACACAAGAAAAATGCTTGGGGGGAATGCGGAACGCTTCTGTCCTCAACCGGTTTGCTACAGAATGCCACTCTGTCAGGCTTTCGTGACCAACCTCTGGACACCCAGGGTCACACCCCATAGAGTGGATGGAATGCAGGCTTCATGCATAATTCCAGGGAGGGGGGAGGCGGGTAACTCCAGTGGGCTGAGGGTTAAAGTAGATATCATTTTTCCTTTTTCCACTCTCTCAATCAAGCCTGAAGAATCAACTTGCTACCTTCTCAGACAAAGGAACCTCAGACTTCCCGGTGAGATGGTATGGAAAGGGGGCCTGCACAGGAGAACAGCAGCAGGCTTGCTGAGGGTGAATGTTCCCAGGATGTTCCTTGTCCTTACGAAACCTAGAGCTAAACCATATTAGGCTCTTCAATAAAGGCTTCTTTCCTTTCTAAGGAGTCACTCAATTTGAAAATTAACACTCTGCATTTACAAATGACTTAAGGTGGTTGGCAATGCTACTACATAAAATTATATTAGAATATAAATAAAGAAACATGAACTATAAAAATTCTGTAAGCTACAAAACTATAAAAGTAGAGCATCCATAAGAAAAAGAATGCAAATAAAAACCTATGAGTTATATACATTGTTTTATAAATGTGAAACTTAGCTCCAGGGACAGAGCTTCCTACCAGTCAAGAAGAGAGGGAGCTAATAAGGTACATTTCTCTTTGTATCAAAAAAGGGGAAGCATCCATTTTCTCAGAAGGAGAAAATGGTCTTTGGAGCACTAAATTCTAATGAAAATATCTTTTTTTAGAGTGAATAATACTCTTAATAAGATTGGCACCCATAATTTCATCTACCTCTTAAGGTACAGAGACCTAAACACAATGTGACCCTCTTGTTTCCAACACCATTGGGCCACTTGGTTTATATCATAAAACTCTTCATAATCAGCCTGGATCAGTTCCATGGAAAAGTTGTCAAGAGAAGGAATCCTACTTGACAGCCTCCAGTTGTTCAAAGGCATCAACCACCTCCTTCACCCTCCACAAGCCTTGGCGGAATAGAGCTGATCTCACAGCTGAGTCGAGGAGGACTCATCTGTCCTCCTCATGTGCCTTTTCTACAAGGCTTGGCCTCTTTTCAGGATCCACCACTTATAAGTGGAGACCAAATTTCCATCCAATACGAAGTGTCAAGGGCTTCTAGAAACATCTACTCTCACTCAGTTGACCAATGTCTACAATCCTAGGATTAGAGGCCATCATTTTGTTGCCGGGCAGCTGCATCTGGGTGGTCTCTCCCTGTGCACCAGGGGAAATCTCAACCTGGACGGGGGAGAGTTCTTGACTCTGAATGAGAAAGAATTTCTGAGCAGGTCAGAAGAGTGTAGGCACAGAAGGAACTCAAGAGAGCAAGAGTAGTACTGAATGGGAGCGGCCTTGCCGGCAGCTGAGGGCAGGAAAGTGTGGAGGGCGGGAGCGGGAGCTGAACTTCTCGGCACAGGGCAGTCTCCCTCACCAGCTCCTGATGCCAGCGTCACCTGGCAACTCCTGAGCCCTTGGATCCGCACCGCGTGGGGGCTGGGCCCTGCCACCCCAGGACTTGGGGGAGCCGCAGAGCACGGGGTAGAGTGAAATTGGGATCTAAGAACTTGCCAAAGAAGGGAGGTTACTGCAGTTCCCTCCGGTCACCCAAACAATGGAACCCCCCAGGCCGTAATCTGAGCTCTCAGCCGACCCTCCCTGCTCACCAGGAATAAAGCAGAGACTAAGTGAAGACTTAGAAATGAAACAGCAATGAAACAAAGACACTTACCTCTGGAAAAGCGCAGAGAGACAAAACACAGTTGAGTTGAGCAGTGAGAGAGCTTTACTTAAAGTTATGCCCTTAAAGAGAGAAAAAGTGAGGGCTCAAAGGTTGGGGGTTCCCTCTTTTAAGGATTTTTCAGGGGACTGGAGGTATAAACTTGTCATGTGGTCTCAAGATGCTTATCTCTGGTGAGAGACACCATGTCTCCTCTCCTCTATTATCAGTCTTCCAGGTAATTCTGCAAAATTAACTTGACACAAGAAATTTACTGGTCCAGTTCCTCTCCAGAATAGTGGCTTCTCTGGGAACATTTCAGTTGAGACGGTTTGCCTTGTTTTGAGGTAGGTTGAGTTATTGTCTGTTTACCTAAGAATATGTTAGGAATCTTACCTTCTAACTTCCTGGCTTTTAAAATGGAATCTTAGCCTTAAGATGGAATCCTTCCTGTTACACTGGTTGTATCTCAGCTTGTTTGGAGAATTAATCACGATGCTTGTCTCCTGTCTCTGTCCTCCATCCTTTTTAGTCCTCTGCTGCTCTTTTCCAATTGTCTGTATTAACATGCAAGTGCATGTAGGAGCATATAAATCACTGACACCTTAGCAAGAATGTGTTTATAATATGGGACTAATAATCTACTAATTACTTAGGGGAAAAGCGGCTGTGCAATTGGCTGGGGACAGGGATTGGACTAAAACAGCCGTGGAAGGGCAGACAAAATGGCCAGTGTGGGACTTAATGTGTGAGGGCTTGAAGCTCAGATGGAAGCTGTTATTCACCTCCAGCTCACTGGACCATGAAGCTCAGCAACTTCCTAGGGGCTGGCATATGGCCTTCAGAACTAAAGGGATCCCTATAATTTTTTATTAGACCAAAAACATTTTGGCAGATAGTAAGAAATTAAGCAACAAGTAGACATCAGTGATTTTGTGAGTACATTGGTTTGGAAGAACATCTGAATCCAAACAAATGGGTGGATTTAACAGTCAGTTAATTCCATATTCAATGGAAGGAGCTCATAGTATGCCAACATTTAGGCTGTTTCACAAACAGGGTGTGCTTTTGAATTCTGATGACTCACCAGTAAAGCCACTTTGGCCTTCTTGTTTCCTCCTAATAATCTGTTAATGTATGAGATGCAGGATTCCTCAATACTTCCTGGTTAGGTTGTGAGGCTCCCCTGTCCCTGTAGAGAACAGAGAGCAAAAGTCAACAGCACGGATTGGAGCACTAGGCAGCTTTATGACATGTCATCATTGTGAGTTCCAGAAAAGCTAACTTCTCTGAGCAGAGCTGAGGCAGAGCTCCCCTGGTGTAACTATGAGGCTTCTGCAACTACAAAATCTCACACGCTCTAACCTGTGGAACAGGAACAAGTCACCACCTGAGTACATGAAGCGTGTTTTGGTCCATCTGGTCTACTTCCATTTTTTTGTGGGTGATCCCTTGGCAAGGTAAGCCGAGCAGCCTGCAAATGCCAAAGAGGAGCTATAGAGAAAACCAGGGCTGTCTTCCAGGGCTTCAAGCCTTCTCACGTCTCCTGTTTATTTAGGTGGGTTTCCTAAACAGTGTGACAGTTTCATTTCCGAGCAAAAGAGCAGACCACACAAACAGCAACACACCTGAGGCCCCAGAGAAAGGAAGTGGCGACAGAAGCCTGTTACTGAAACTAGATATCTAAGTCGTATCACATCAACAAACTTTCCCCGAATGATACCACGTGTGAAGCAATACCTGAATTAGATCAGAAGGTGGACCTGGGTGGACATGAACCCACCCAGAGCAGATGGACCCTGGATGGCAGTGTCCACCCGTCAGAAGTGCCAGACATCCTCTGAGCTTGGTCTTATTCAGGGTGCTGCTAATTCAGGGGCTGCAAACGGACATGGCTGCCTTGAATGATATGCTGATTCATGGCTCTGAACTGTTTGGGCTTTGTTCCATTATTATAAATTGGTCAAATGCAATTTAAAAAAAATTTTTAAGTATAATTTTTTAAAAACCTGAAAGGAGGAGTAAGGAAGGGAAGCAATGAATGTAAAATGTAAACTAAGGTGAGAAGGTGCTCCTAGCTAATATAATAAGATTTAATCAAAACTTATGTAGTCTCTTAACACTCAGAACTACAACTTAAAATAACAAGATGTGGGTGGGGTGTTATTAGACGATTTGAGGACAAAGCTTGGTCAATGTGACTTAGGAGATAACTGGTGGGGGGCGTTGGTATTGCAAAATAATTGTGCTATTTAGCATTAAAATAAAGGACATTCAAATAAACAAAAGGAGAGTTCTAAAACTCTAAAAATCCTTTTCTACCAGGATCAAAGACGAGTGAAACAATCTACCAACAGGGGAGCTGGCCTGGACAGCAAAGTGGAGGAAGAGATGACCCAGCAAGCACTTAGCATCAGTTCACATTGACTGAGAACTTACTATATTCCAAGTACCTTCCTGAGAAGTTTTCCTGTCCTTTTATACTCCCAGCAACCTTTGAGGCAATTGCCGCTATCACCCCCATTTTATGAATGAGGAAATGGAAATACAGAGCAGTTCAGTAAATGATGGGCCAGGGCACCAACACAACCTGACTTTAAAGTCTGTTTTCTTAACCTATACTCTTCTGATTCTCAAAGACCAATGGGAAATACAGAAAGACGAAGCCAAGCCTTGAAAAATAACCAAAGAAAAGGCAAAAGGCAAGGTTTTGTCTCAGATACTAATGAGCCGTCGCATTCTTATTGTCTGAACCTTTCATAATAAATTGGAGAGCCACAAAGTCCTATGGAATCCATATTTCCAATTCATTCAACAAGTGAGCTGAAGTGTCACAAAATTGAAGCCCCTGGGTCAATTTAACAGGGCCAGGCAAGATTCCACCCATTGCCTTTAATCAGTTGAAAACGTTGTGGTGGTGGGCAGGGGCGCATCAGGGCAATGTCAGTGGAGAAATTCAATCTGACGTGGTTGACGTGCATCCTGCTTTTACTAGGCAGGTTCTCAGTTCTGAGAGTCTCAGACCCTTAATAGCAGGATGTGTTTCTCCATCCGGCCTAAAACAGCAGGGAAAAGTAATTAAAGCACTAAATTAGAGCTGTGCTGGATTAGAGGCTAATCCCAACGAACCAGTCACTCAGTGCCCCAGGGGTGCATTCCTGCAGATGAGGAGCTCTTCCAGAACAAAATAAATCTGATTCTGTCCCTGGGTACTTCTTCTTTGACATTGTGGCTGTGCTCAACTTCCTCATGAGGACAAACATCTGAAGATGTGGCCTGAGATTAAGACATTCTTTCTTACTGAAGTATTGTTTCTTTTTTAGCAAACCTCAAATTGACCCCCGGGCTTCAGAATGTCACTTAAGCAAAGGGAGACATCTAGTGGCCAAGGTTCACACTGTGGAAAAGGACACCCATTGACAAAATGACTAGAATATGAGGGTTTTGTTGCCTTGAGAGGGTACTGGCGGACTTGGTGGGAAGAGAGGAGAAAGCAAAGTGGTCTAACCCAGGTAACCTCTGACACCCTCAGTACTGTGTCCAGATGTTTGGCAGGGATCCTACCTGGAGCAGAATTCATCCATTCATCCATTTGTTCATTCAACAAACATTCATATTAAAAGTCTACTATGTTCAAGACACTTTACTAGGCCCTGGGGACCAAAAGCTTTCAAGGATCTCACAGCCTAATAATAAAGTCTAGGACACCTACCATCAGTTAGAACACGTTGTGACAAGAGCTGATCATACTCTAGTGCGGCAGCCCATAGAAATCACACTTAAATGAATCTTCAAGGGTAAGAGAAAGAAATATCTAACCCACAGATCTCAAACTAACACCCTGTGGGCCCCATCTGGCCTGCAGATGTGTGTTTGCTTGGCTCATGCAGTGTTTTTAAAACTCTGAATTAGTTGCTAACATTTAAACATCAGGGAATTTCACATGAAAATCCATATTTTAGCTTCTTTTGTAAAGTGAGAAGATCTGCAATACCATTTCCATATTTCTGCAGGTTGATACTTAACCGGAGCTGAGTGAAGTCTTCCTGCTTTCCTGTTACTTTTTTCCTAACAGCCAATAATTTACTTACTTCGATAAATTTTTGTTAGATTTCACATGAACAGGGTTGAAAAATTAGTCTCCTACTAGGAGACTAATTTTTGGTTGCACAGCCAACAAATTATCCACAAAGGCACCCGCTACTACCAGCTAGAGATGGTATAAACATGTATCCCTCCCTCACACCTTACACCAAAATTAATTTCATGTGAATAACTTTAAAAACAGAAAATTAAACTATAAGTACTAGAAGAACACAAGAGAGCTGCTGCTATTTCATTCTTTAAATAATTTGTTGATTTAATGATAAAGACCTTTCTAAAGTGAGACCACAATACAAACATCATAAGAATTTAAAAATTGGTGCTAGACTACATAAAAAGGGGAGGGGGGAATCATGGCAAAAAATGCAATAAATAGCATTCAAATATAAATAAGTACTTGGAAAAATATTTTCAATTTACATGAGTGACTCTTTTCTTTAATATGTGACAGTTCTTATAATCAGTAAGAAACATATACAAGCAGAGACAAATGGACAAATATGAACAAGCAAAAAAGAAAAAGATGCAAATAGTTCTGAAGTATATGAAAAACAAGGAAATGTCTATTGTAATTTGAAAAATGAAGACTAAAGCATTGATTAAATAATATTTTTCATCTGTTGGATGGGCAAAGATCAAAAGAGTTGGTAATATTGTTGCAGGAGAAGGAAACATGCAGTCTCCTATACAGCCAGTGGGTGTAGAAATCAGTAGGTATATACCAAATTTAATAATATACATATCTTTTGACATAGCAGTTTTATAGATATGCTTGCTTCTGTGCAAAATGATATTTATATAAATATATCTAGCACAGAATTATTTATAAGATTGGAAGATTGAAAGCAATATAAAAGTCCATCAATAGGTGTGGTAGATTTTATTTGTCTAAAATACATTATATGCTGAAAACATAAAATCTTTTTTGTTTCAAGCAATTGAAATTCTGATATTGTTAATATAACGTAACTTAGTTTAAGCTGACTAATACAGAAATTGGCACTAAGAGTTGGGCAAAATCTTTCATAAGAGAAATCTGAAAGTATGTGGCATTTGCTCTGGTCTAGCCAATGGGAAGCAAGGAAACTGATTGGAGATGAGAATGGAGGCAATCTATGTAATGCGGTGAAACAATTGTGAGAACTTGGACTGTACATAATATGCTCAACAAGCTTGTGCCTTTAAGCAAGGAACTTAGAATCCCTTTTAATACAACTAGTACCTCTCTTGACAATGCAACTCTTAAAAGCATAGTTGGATATTTGTTTATTTTATTCTATTTATCTCTGTGTGCCTGTCATATTGTGATTTATAAGAAAAAAACATCTTTTGTTCTTTGTCCCATTTCTGGCACAGCATCCCTAAAGCTCTTGTTTCCTAAGCAGTGAGAGCGGTAAAGGTGTCATTTCTTATGTCACTGAGCTGATTTTTGTTAAGCACCTAAGGATAGGTGCTGGTTGCCAGGAAAATCAATGATGTGTTAGAGGTTTGGAAGTTTTAGTCCCATGCCCCTGACCACCTGGAAAGGGAGAATCAATCACCAATGGCCAGGTGAATCAATTCATCAAGCCTCTGTAATGAAGTCTCCAAAAAATCCCCAAAGGACGAGGTTCAGAGAGCTTCCAGGTTCATGAACATGGAGACCTGGGGAAAGTGGTGCTCTTGGAGAAAGCACAAAAGCCCTGCACCCTTTCCTCAAACCTTGTCCTGTGTGTCTCTCCCGTCTGGCTGGTCCTGAGTTACTCCTTTTATAATAAACTAGCAATCTAGTACTTAAAATGTTTCTCTGAGTTCTGTGAATTGAAATTTACCAATAAGCACACCCAAGGAGGAGATGTGGGGATTTCTGACTTATAGCAAGTGGGTCAGAAGCCCAGATGACAACTTGAACTTGCCATTTGCATCAGAAGTCAGGGTGGGGGGAGGCCAGACTAAGCCCTTTACTTGTGGACTCTGACACTATCTCCAGGTAGACAGGGTTCACAATTAAGTTAAATTGTAGGCCACCCAGCTGGTGTCTGAGAATTGCTTGGATGTGTGCAGAAATTCTGCTCCCATCCCTAACTGCCACACACACACACATTGGAATCGGACACAAAACATTTTAGGGTTCACAGGGACAACCACAAATCTTTTCCAGGCACATTCCTTGAGCAGAGAGGGTTTTGGTGAGAGAGCCATTTCTCAGAGCCAAACCTAAGCAATTATGTCCACAGATAGAGTCCCCTTAATTATTCTATGTGCTTAAACAACAGGTTTGGTGGTCATACCCCCAACTTGTTCCTTGTCACAAGGCTTAGTTATAATTGGCCTTAATCATTCTAAAGCCATCTCAGTTTTACAATTTACTGGTGAGAGACAGACATTAGTTACATCTTCTGTCTGGCATGTCTGGAATTTTTGTTGCTTTTCTTCTTTACTCCTGTTTGAGAGTCAACCATCTTTTCCTTGTAATACATTGTCTAAAGCAGCCAATAGCAACTAATGCATGCTACTAACTCTATTTTCAGTTATCTGCCCATTTGTTCCTACACCAGTGATTGAGTAATCCATCTTTTCCTCACTGATTTGAGATGTCACTTTCAGTAAAATTCAAGTTTCATGTTTCTTTGGGTCTCTTTTATAATACAGACTTTGTGTTCTGTTCATTCATCTCTGTTGCTCAAGAACTGGCTCACCACTATTTGCTGTGTCTTCATAATACATTTTCATATTTACTATAATTTTCCCCTATCATTCTTCCTTTTCAAAAATTTTCTTTCCATGGTTGTTTAATGATTTTTCCATATAAACTTTAGAATAAATTTTCCATATAAACTTTAAAGTCAGATTGCTGATTCCCCCCCACACAAACACCCCTCCCTCAAAAAATGTATTGATATATTTATTGAGATTGTGTTAAATGTATAGACAGATTTGGCAATTATTAGCAGCTTTTGAATGTTGAGTTCCCCTAACTGAGAATCTGGATTGGTTTTCTAATGTTCAAATAAAATAAAATACTAAGGAATAATTTTAACAAATATATAAGGTCAGTGTGAAGCAAACTTTCTAAATATACTGAAGAACACACAAAAAAATGTTCCTTGGTTACATTTCAAGGCCCGTGAGGCATGACTGCATGCCCATAGGTATTAGCAAAATACAAAACAAAATTGAACCTGATATTGAGAAATGTTTTCACTCAGGATGATGTTCCATTGCAAGCTTACCATGAAATTGCAAAGAGGAGCTTATGGGACAAATGGGCAAAAGATATATCTTTAAAGAGGAATAAATTTATTTCATAAAGAAAAGGCAAGAGGAGGAAGAAAGGAGATAGGGAGACAAACAAAGTGCACTCATTTTTGCACGGATTTGGCTACTCTGTGGCTCTGGCTACTTATCATTTCTGCTGCTCCTTCTTTATGGCCTTGAGCTGTGATGTGTATTTACAGGCAGCTTCTGATTTCCTGAGCAGAGATGAAATTTAAACAAGGCTAGAGAATGCTCAAGTATCAATCTATCTTCCTTATCCCCTAACTTTTCTCTCCCTTCCACCTCTCCCTCACCCTGGAAGTCCCTCTGGCTTGCAAAAGCATGGTTTCAGGGTATCGCAAATGATGGGAAATAAAATCCAAAACCTTTTCTTTGAAATATGTGTTCAGTGCCCAAGTAAGCATTGGTACTGATTGTCAATAAGGGAGGAAAAACAATAAGATGAGTGAAATTAAAAAATATTTTTCTTTGAAGCAACACCCATTACAGCATTTGTGACCAATAAAACTTGGAGTCTAACTTCTGTAAGATATATTACCTGTATATTACCAACTGTTAAAAGTGTTGCTTGTATCAGAATTTAGAAAACAGTTTGGCAATTTCTTATAAAATTAGATATACACTTACCATGTGACCTGGAAATCACATTTCTAGATATTTACCCAAGGAAAACGAAAGTGATATATCCACAGAGTTATATTCGATGTTCACAGCAGCTATATTCAAAATAGCCCAAGTCTGGAAACAACCCAAATGTCCATCAATGGGCAAAGGGACAAATAAATTCAGATATAACCATACAATCAAATACTAAGCAGAAGATACCTGACATCTTAGCAAGATACCTGAGCCTGGAAGATATAAGGATGCTCCACAATGTAGAATGAATGCTGTACAAATGCAAGGTATTATTTCCTTGGTTTTAATCTGTGTTCTTCCTAATGATCTCTCACTCATTGCCTACTTGGGATTATAATGTCTCAGTGCCTGTTTTAATGGGCAATGACCTCCATTCTACTCAACAAGTACATACAGAGAGTCTCTGTGCATGGAGCCCAGCACTGTGCTAAGTACTGTCAGAGACACAGTAAGAATTACACCAGGACCTGGGATTGGCATTTTGCATGGGAAACAGCACTGAAGCATCGAACAAATGAGGACATATTATTAGCCATAACAAAAACATTGCTAATGCCTTTTGCTTGCTTACATTCAATAAAAGCAACAAGGAGAATAAAGACAGTAACATAAAAACTTGATTAAAACCCAAAGACATGCCACAGTCGCTGGTGCCCTCTCACTTCCGTAGTTGGCACAAAGGGCCAGGTGGTGGCACAGCTAGTTTGCCCTATGATGTTCCCTTCCAGAGACTTATGCTCTATTTTTTGTTGTCTTAATAAACCATGATGGTCCTACTGTATATAAAATGTTTAATCCTTTGCTGAACTTATTTGGTCTTCTACATATAGCAGCATCTCATGGAAATTATTAGACCTCTCTTAAAAGACGTCCTTTAATTTTCACACCTCAAAGAAAATTCTTACATAGCACTCTTAAACTTGGCACTTCTTTAACATGTTCTGTAAACTTTATTTATAAATTTGATCAAACACTCTCACATTTACACTTGGCCAGCTGGGGACCTAATTTGTAATTCATCATACACAAAACTTTTTAACAAAAACTTAAAAAAAATAACTAAACTTTTAAAAAACAAATCCATGTAAATCTAGAGGATTTTAGGGGAGGTGTGAATTTATTGTTATAAATCTGTATTCTCTCTACTAGTTCTATCATATAGAGCAGTGCATGGTTAGGCAGCAAGCCAGGGTATGGGCTGCAGATACTTAAATGTGGGACAGCAAATTTAAAGGGCCTAACAAATGCCTGAACATACTCATATGGCCAGATCAAAGCACGTTTAATTTGCTACATGTATTGGTCAGGGTTCTCCATGGAAACAAGACCAGTAGGATGTATGTACATAGATAGAAAGAGATTTATTATAAGGAATTGGCTCACATGATTATGGAGGGTCAGAAGTTCAAGATCTTCTGTCAGCAAGCTGGAGACCAGGAGAGCCAGTGTACCATGCTAGCGATCTTCTGAAGGCCTAAGAACCAGAAGAGCCAATCGTGTAAGTTCAGACTGAAAGCTATCAGGACCCAAGGGCAGATATTTTAGTCCACATCTGAATTCTGGAAGAGACCAATGTCGTAGCTCAATCAGTCAGGCAGACAATGTTCTCTCTATTCACAGGAGGGTCAGCCTGTGAAAACATATGGCCAGAATAAAGTTTGACCAAATATCTGAGAACTCTGTGTCCCAGTCAATCTGGTACATAAAATTTACCATCACACCAAGCCAACTAGCCACAGACTTCCCAGCCCAGAGTTCTCCAATCTATGGTTCTAGATTTTTCATGCTTCTCTTATAGGGCTCTAAATGTACTACATTCTTTGAAAATCATCAAATTGTACTGTTTTTTGAGACCCATCTATTCAAACTAACTAGAAATAGATAAAAATCAATGAGGGACTCTACACAGAAACCATTAGTAGATCAAGAGCCTGCCATCCTTTGTCAATGGCACAGAAAATTTCTGGCACTTTACCTTAGCCATCCTGACCCCACAGATGACTCCTATGACCTTAGCAGATGTTAGGCAGGTGGACACACAAAACATGAAGAGCCCAATACTAGGTTCAACTGCGCCCAACAATTCTGACTAACTAAAAACAATGTCTGGATACTACAGGCCCACTCAACAAGCATCAGTACCCTATTTACCATGACTTGACATCACAGAGGTCTCCAAGGGCGACATCTTTTCAGAGTGAACACTTAGGAATGGGGAATACACTGAGATTTACTAATATCAGTTTTTCTTGTCATTAGGGTAGTTCAAGGTGTTGACTTGCATCCTAGATACAAGAAACAAAATCCAAAGGAAAGGAAATCTTTTGCCAAGGATTGACTATTTGGGGCAGTGTTTGGGAAAGAGGTATAATGATTCACAGAACAGGTTTCTATACCAAGAAACAAAAGTGCTCTTTAGAGAATATGTGAGGAGCCAGCTTTCCTGGTGGGGCAAGTCCCCTGTGGATTCACGGAACCTATTGAAGCAGCCCTTCCGTGCTGTTATCCCACAACAAACACACCATGCTTCTTCTACCCACCCATCCCCCTTGCCACCGACTCCTTCCAAGGAGACACAAATAGCCTTTGAAGGGAAATACCTGAGGCAGTTCCACTCCTCGACTTCACCTTCTGAGTACTTACTGTGCCAGGAAATACCTTGCATGTGTTTTCTCAATTAAATTTCACAAGAACTTACCTATTATGGGTTCTATTTTTTTCCTTGGCTTGGAAAGGTCAGCGAGCTCACCCAAGGTCACACCAGCAGTGGAAAAGCCGACTGGAAATCAGGTCTATCCACCTTGGGCTCCTGAGCTTTTCAACATTTATCTTTAAATCATGCCTTAGTGCCTCTTTGTCTGAATTTAGAAATCACAAGATCTTGAGTGTACGGTTTAAAGCAAACTTGACAAGAAGTCTTGGGACATTTCAAAGGATGAAGTCCTCACCTCACCCTGCACTATATGCGATGCATGTAAGGACCTGGGCCTCTTGACTAAAAGAAATGTGACTTCAGAGGTTTTATTTGGGTTCCAGAAATACATTTAAATTACTGCTTTAGATTTGAAAAGGAGTTTCAACCATTTGAAAATGGAGGCCTTGAGTCTAGCTTCTTTGTAACTCTACTCAAAAGCATGCCCGATAATAAGTGTTTTCTTTTTTCCAGCTTTATTGAGCTATAGTTGACATAGAGCATTGTTTAAGTTTAAGGTGTACAATGTGATGATTTGATATATGTATAGATTGTGAAATGATTACCACAAAATCATCTGATTTAATTAACTTTAGAGTCCATGGAGAGGACTAAGGGAATTGGAAAGAGCTCCTTCAATTACTGAGGGACTTAACTGAGCTAAATACTAGCGATCCCCACCTTCAAGGATCACACAAATTAATAAAGGATACAGACAAATAAATAGTAACAGGGAAACCACCTCACCTATGATAACGGAATTTGAGTCTAATAGGACTGGCTATGAACAGACTCCTTTAGGTCATTTCACTGGTCTCCCAGTGAGCTGACCCTGCACCATGTGAAACTGAATTCTGTGGATCCCCTTTATATTGTTGCAGCAGGGTTTTCTTTAACATGAATATAATGGCTAAGTGTTAGATCAGCAGATGCCCGAGTAATCATTTCACAATATATACATATATCACCTGAGCACCTAACCCATGTATGACCACATAAAACTCTGGCCAATCAAACCCCACTCCCCATTCATTCTTAGGACACCCTCTGTCTCTCCTCTTCCACCATGAGAAGCAGTATAGTGCATGGGTTAAGAATAGGGGCTCAAGGTGACAAATGCTGGGTTTGCATCCAGTTCTACTTAATCAACTGATGGTGCTAAATGAGGTATTTTTACCCTTCAAGCCTCATCCATAAACCTACAATTCATGCCTGCCTCCTAGGGATGCTGTGAAGATTAAGTGGGATAATGTATGCTGAGTGCTTTGCTAATGGCAAGCATATAAAAAATGCTTTTTTAAAAAAAAGAGTAGCTTCCTGGAATGTCCATTTCCCTCTTCTCCGTCTCATCATCATAGGGATTTTAAAGCCTGAATCAAATTTTCTTCTCCATTTCTCTGTGTCCTGGACTACTCCAGCTCTTCTGAGACTGACTTCTCCTAAATAATCAACACTAGACACTTAAACCTTGGATAACAGACTTATTAGACTTTGGCAACTCCTGCAAAGGAGGTGGTAGCATGGGTGGGTTAGGGTGGGGAAGGGGCAGGCAGGCAAGCACTATGTCCAGCTGCTCCTGCTGGTCCAGGCTGGCCAGGCTGCTGGGCGGTTCCCAAGAGGGGACCAGAGAATGCGTCGCTACTTTGCTTCCTCCCACCTCAATCCACTTTCTAGCTGTATAGCCCAAAGTAAGGACAGGCCTTAGTTGCTTTACCAATAAAATGGGCAGGATCCCATATTCCCTAGTTGAAGCCAGAGAGCTGAACAAAATCCTAATGGAAGACCTCTTCCAGCTTCAGATCTGGGATTCTCCCAGCACATGTGGCCCTGGGAGGGTGCAGCACCCCAAGTCAGGTGACCTGTACATCTGGCCACTCTAGGGGCCTCCATACCCGCCAAATGAACAGGGCATGTTGTTCTTCCCCCCACTCCCTCCAAAATCTGGTATCAGGTCATGAGCCAATGGGTGCAAGCACCCAGGCAGGCAGCAGGGCAGGGCCCAGGGCTCGCTGATGCAAACACTGATGAGGAACTCCTGGAGCTTGGCTCTGCGTCTCCCCTTCTGTGCCGTCTTCACCCAAAGGTCTGCAGGCTGTCAGCTGCTGAGCCAGGCGGTGGGAAGCAACGACACTGTTCTTCCTTCCTGCCCTGCTCCCACCCCTCCCTCTGGCCGCTGTCTCAAAGGAAACGCCAGCAGCCCTGGACAGGCCCTGCCATTTAGGGTGCTGGGAGAGACAGCCAGGCCCTCTGCTTTCTTTAATACTGGCCTGGTGACTAGTCTCAAGCAGAATGAGAAACAGACAGGAGAAAGGACTGGAGGGATTTTCTGGGGGTGCTGGAGAAGAGGGGGACCTTTGTGATCACAGTCCTGACCCAATCTGTAACCAGGTGAGGGCCTTCTGCCCCCAGGTCTCCCCTTGTCATTGCAGGAGAAGGCACCTGGTGAGGGTGTCCAGCAGCCTGAGGCCAGCACTATTCCCACCACAGAGGGAAGGCCTGCATGAGAGCTGCCCAGGGAGGCCGTTCTCAGGGCGCACAGACAACCATGCAGGCTGTGCCTTCCCAGGGCATCTGGCCCAGGCAGAGCTGAAACCCAACACAGTCTCCACGTGCCACACACCATGTGCCCCATCTGCCCGGAGAGGCTGACTTTTCGGATTCTCACAAAGGCTCCATAAGGCTAGCATGGCCCTAGGTACCCTCCTGCGTCTGCCCTTCCTGACAGCCGTGCTGGGAGGTGTTGCAAACAGAAGATCAGTAGCACCCTGCCAGGTGGCTGCACTCTCACAGCCCTACCTCCCAGTGCCATGGCTCACCTCTCCTTCCTTTTTCCTCCCCCTTTCCCAGTCATTCCCCTTTTCTTCTTTCCCTTTTCTATCCCTTCCCTTTGCCCCTCTCTTTCGTTCCTTTCCTTGCTTCAATCTATTGCCACATTTTGGATGGCCAGATTCTCCCTAAATACTCAGAAACACCCTGGAAGGAGCTGTCACATAAGAGTATAAGGGAGACACAAAGATGGAAGTCTTTGCATTCAGAATACAGCCTTTCTTCTTTCTTTTTAACTTGTGGTCTTAGGGTTAATAGCATTCTGGGAGATGTCAGGAAACAGCAGGTGGGTGTATTTAAGAAATTTTGACCAGAAAAACTTGAAGAGGATATTCGGTTCTACCTTACAGAAATTGGGAAACACAAATGCTGGCAGCTGCTATACCCAGGTTCTATGTTCATGTCTAGCTGACCGCTACAGTAGACAGGAAAAGGCCCCTCCTACCTTGGAGCTATCCTTCCCCTGATCCCCAGAACCTGTGAATATACTACCTACGTGACCAAAGAAACTGCAAATGTAATTAAATTTAAGGTCAACTTTGCATTTGACTTTATAATAGGGAAGTTATCTGGATTTTCTGGGTGGGGCCAATCTAATCACATAAACCCTTGAAAACAAAGAACTTTCTCCAGCTAGAAGCAGAAGAGATAGTGGCAGAAGAGGAAGCGAGAGAGCTGCAGCAGAAGGGGACGTGAGAGAGACTTGAGGTGTGAGAGGACCCGCACACCGTTGCTGACTCTGAGATGTAAGGGCTCAAATGCAAAGACCAGAGAGGGGGCTTTAGGAGATCAGGAAAAGCCTGAGAAGGGATGTTGGCAGCCGGTGGGAGCAAAGACCGACCCATGGCTGACAACCAGCAAGGAAACAGGAATCTCAATTCTCTAACCCCAAGGAATTTTGCGAACAACCTAAATAAGGGCAAATCAAGACATTCTCAGATGAGAGAAAAGAGAAT